TCGTGTTTACTACGATGGTTACGTTAGACGTTTCGTTTTCACTTTTACGGTTTGGCTAAACTTTCGTTTTAATGTAGGTATGCAATTTTGATTTCATTATGAAGAGGCGATTAGACATTTTGTATTGGTGTGGGTATACAGTTTCGAATTCACTGAAAGTTTCGTTAGACGTTTCGTGTTAATGTATTTATACAGTTTCGAATTCACTATATTAATTTTTTGATGAAACGTTTCTTATATATACAGTTTCAAGGTCATTACACATATTTGAGAATAAATATCTCGTAATAATTTATATTGTTATACAGTTTTGAAGCCATCATGAGGGTTTGGTTGAACGTTTCGTATCAACGTGCAGATTCCTGTTGGCTCTTGCTATAAAGACGCGCCCTTGTTGGCATGTAAATTACGCTATGACTTTGAATCAAGGGCAACTTCTAAACTATTTATGCATCACTGCATGATATGAAGAACTTGTTAATTTTTTGCTATGTCATTCGTTAAACATCCGCGTTAATCATAAAGCATTAGTTGTTGATAAATGAAAAAATTAAGACCAAAATATCGCCGCAAATATATTGTCCAGTTGATATTTTATGTGTGTGCATAATGTAGCTTTTGGATTGTTGAACAAGTTTTAGGTAAACAATGTGAAAATTCCGTCTAGCGAATAGCTATTGGTCTTTCTATTAATGTAAACAAAATAAAGACTTATATATATCCAAAACGTCTCCTTATTGGTTCGATATTTCGCTGTTACCTTTTCATCAGTGAACGTGATTAGTGAACTTGTAGGATATCGATAGCCCCTGACAAAACTGTAATAGCGAAATATTGAGCCAATAAAGATACTTTCTGGAGATACAGGTGGATATTTTATTTAGATTAATAGAAGTGTCTTGTAATAGCCCCCCCCCCTCAGTGGCTCAGCACTAAGCCTTAAGGCGTATGTTGCTAAAATCCGAGTTTCGATACCCGCTACACAGCACAAATAGCCCATCGTGTAGCTCTGCACTTAACAACTATCATATTAATTCTTGTAATAAACTCCAGTTTGCGTTAAACAAAGCTAAGAGTAATAGCTGATGGTTTTATTAACTAATTATTAAAACAAATCTGTTTATTTTAGAGTAAAGCCACATTGAGCTATCTGCTATGTCCACCACGGCTAATCGAACGTTCCAGCAAAATACTTTTCCGCCATTTCTGTGACAGAAAAGAAAGCTTGTTTAAAAACAAATCTTATCTAAAGAAATACACGCTTAATGTAATCTCCCTTATTATGAAACGAATTTTCGTTTTGTTTCATTTTCCATCAAATAAGAATGTCTAAGCTAACTAATGTATGCATTAGTATTTGTTTTCCCAAAGCCTATCGACGCCCTATACTACAATTAGCGTTTGTTAATTTAAATCTACTAGGATATTTAGTCTTTCAGCGACATGCTAGTCTGATTGATTGTAGTCTGTGTATATTGATTCAGAGATTAGTGCCGCAAAGTAAATCTGCAAAATAAAAAATCAACGCTTTTAGCCTTCCAGGTCAATTGCTCACTCATATGATATAAATTGAAAGATTAACAGATCAATCTTAGAAGATAGAATGTTTAATCGAAGGACTAATGAGTTGTTTTGGTAATAAAATATATCTTTAATTGCTGTGTTATATTTATCATCAAACCAAGAACTAAACATACTATATTTTTATAGATACTACTCTTGTCATGTTGAAAGACCAGTTTCACGCTGGTTACACAATTACAATAAACTGAATATTACATAAAGAATAAGTAATAGCACGGATGAAAGCCCTACTTATAATGAAGAGTTTATAATAGGCTTTCCTCGTGCACACATTTTGTAGGTATACCATAGACTTGTGTTTTAGGTTTGATAAAGTAGAACAGTTTCTTTTTTTTATGAAGGAATAATTATGTTTTTACTATGCTATGTCTTTAACGCACTGATGTAGTTTAAGTTACACCTGTACATTTAACATTTGGTGCCCTCGTTATAACTTTAAGCTCGTGCGCAGATCTAGCAATGAGTTGTGTATGTGTATATTATGTTCCAAGTTAATTGATTATAAACTATGTCTAAAACTATTTTTATAATCATTAAATCGATAAAATAATTATTCTGTTCGCCATAACGTAACACAGAAAATAAAAAGATGGAAAAACTTTAACGACATTTACAAATATACGGAAAACAACAACAACAGGATTTAAATAGTTCAACAACTATATTTTCTACTTTTTTGAAATTTGTTTTAGAGAAAAGCCACATTGGCTTATCTGCTGTGTCCATCGCGAGAAATCGAACTCCGGATTTTAGCGTTGTATATCCGTACACTTACCGATGCCCCATCGGGAGACTATTTTGTAAGAGTATCACTAGATCTGAGATTGTTCCATTATTCACCACTAGATCACTCTGTTTTTTGTTTTTTTGTTGTTGTTAAGCGCAAATCTACAGAATGGGCTAGTTGTGCTGTGCCCATCACTGGTATTGAAACCCGATTTCTATCATAAGTCCAGAGACTGCTGACGGGGCAGGTCACTCTGTGACAGAGTTAAGTGTTTCTGTATGATTAAAGTGTAGGTGTTAAGACTATAATAAGTAGCGTAGTTAAATTATAATTAGTCTGTCCATTAAAACAATATAACTTAATTTACCTCTTAAAAAACTTTGACTAGGAGCAGTTGGAATCTCATTGAAATAAAATTCGTGTACGTCTGTATATATTTTTTCGACGGTGCAAATTTGCATAGATAAAACTGCATACATTTTTTTAAAGAAATTCTGCGCTTAAATTAAGAAATGCTGAACACATACCATTAATCAAATTGTGAGCTAAATTATTTTGCATTCATACAATGTATTGCTGTATTGATGTCGTGTAGCTTTGCCTTGTTTCTCGACTTTAGTTGTCGAACAGGTTTTGTGCTAAACGTTTTGTACATTTTGACCTTGATCTCCAAAGCCTAACCTCACCTTGCAAAAAATTCAACTCCTTTTCAATATGAATAGATGAAAGTGGGTGTTGTTGTCGTTTTGGAAGATGTCGTGCAAGCGTGTAAATATGGAATCTGATCTCGTGGTAACTTTTATCTGTCTGTGTGTTTTCAACCTCTAAGTTGTCGAATTCTGGTAGATAGCGAATAATACAAAACAATTTGCAGATCATAGAAATAATTTAGTGATACAAGTGTAAACAACTTTACATTACTAGACATGTCCTTTACGCTAGAGTTCGTTTTATCCCGTTTGATGAAAGAGATTGTTTGTTTGTAATTAAGCACAAAGCTACACAATGGGCTATCTGTGCTCTGCCCATCATGGGTATCGAAACCCGGATTCTAGCGTTGTAAATTCGCAGACATACCGCTGTGCCACTGGGGAGCGACGAAAGGGATATATAACAAATTTTGTTTTAGATATTCAAACATAAAGATAGAATTATAACTTGGAGTATTGATAACTATTACTTTACGAAGATTTTCCACATATATCATTACAAGATAACTGTAGACATATTTTATAAAAAGGATCTGAGTGGGATATAAAAGAAATGTATACTGTAATCTACAAACTTATATCTACAGTAAAATCTGTCACAATGTTTATAAAGTTTTACAGCCAATATTTACATACAAGCCAAGAATATGTATGAAAAGAAATCACCAGTATTAACTTTCTGTGCGTTAGTTGAATATAACTTAGCGAACAGTTCTCTAATTGTTGAGGTAACAATTATAAGTGAAAGTTTAACCAGTAGATTTTTTTTGTTTTTCGTTTTCT